GGGTGCAGAGGCTTTGTTGCCACTTCCACAARCAAGCTTCTGAAGGGGGTGGGAGAGCGAGGACAGGCCTTCCGACAAGCCGTCAAATCGCTTTTAGAGACTGCCGAGCGAAGCAGCAGCTGGCTGTGGATCAAAAGAAAGGACCCCAACTGGTTTGCAAAGTGACCACCAAAGGTAAAAGCGGAGGGGGGCACACCTGGGACGCCAGGTGTTGCCGTTGAGCCCTGTGGAGGTGTCGTGGGCCTATCAACGAATCACCAGTGAAGCAGGGTGCCCACCTATAGACCCCAGTGAAGCAATTACCATTACCCCTACCCCACCCATCACCAGGTGCTGATTAAACAAGGGATTGTACTATCAAGTCCTATGAGCTCAATTGGATCCAGACAGGATACGTTCCCCATTTCCAGTACTTATGCTAAGCTAAGCTAAAAGACAGTTGCTACATATTCACCATACAAACTGACAATGGTGTCAAGAAGGCGATTAAATGCATCTTTATAGCTGCCAAACTCTTCCAGGAATACGCAGCATGTACGTTGTGGCAGTTGACCATGCCACGGGGCTCTCACCAAAGCAGCCAGAGACAAAACATTCAGGTTTTAACGTATTTATTAAAAACTCTCCAAATACAACTTAAAGTGTCCAGCTGTTTCACCTGGACATCTCGCTCCGGCTCAGCCGCTCCCCCCGTCTTTCGTTCCGAGTCTGTCTCCCCAGGCAGCTCCACCACCACTTTTGAACCCGAGGATCATTCAGCATACAGCTGTCACCTGCGCTGATTGATCCTCTTTGTTGCAGGTGAAGTCCTTAAATTTTTGTCTGATAAGTCATCGTACAGTGAAACTACGGCCTTCAGGGCACCTGTTCCCTTGGTAATCTTCAAAGTCAAAGGGGGACTATTTCTTTGGCACGTCACAGAGAATAGTTCTTTTCTCTCAACAATAGGTAATGATTTCCACAAGGCCACAGCATCGTGAGTTAAAATACATAAGTGTCTCTGGAGTGGGTGATGTACACTGTGTTTACTTGAAGTGAGTCAACAATCATCCTTTCATACCTTTAGCTTCATCTTCAGTCATCCTACATAGAGGTTTTGATATTTCTGTTATAGGTGATGGGACTTCTGCAAGGTCCTCCAGTGTTGAGTTTGCAGAGGGCTTCTTAATGCACCTTCCCACACTCTCCATCCCAAAGGGTATCTATAGCATGTATAAAATAAAAGGAGAAAGTGTCATTCGTTAAGTATTGTTTAATTAATATACTCTTTTGGTATCTTTGTGTACTTCCACTTTATGTTCACTGCTTCCAATTGGGGAAACACCAGTAGAAACAAGAATTAACACCCTTCGACCACTGCAGTTTCAGTCATACAATCATATTTTATTTCATACTCATGTGACTTACGTCCATGAGCTTCACTCTCAACTTCCCAAATCTAAACAGTTGATCCAAGAGTCTAAGTGAACCTTTGTGTCAAATTGAAAGGATTCTCTAGAGGCGTTCTATCAATAACAAATAAATTATGTGACGTTAATTAGATAACACATTCACAAATCAAAAAAAAGGTTCTGGGAAGTAACTGTGATGACCATGTTGAAAGGAACCCCTGGGGGCGTTCCTGAGATATCACATTCACAAAGAAAAAACGTGATTAGTGACTACTGAAATCTATCCATGAGTCCAACTGTGTTTGTACAAATTGAAGAAAATCCCTCAGGGTGTTCTTCAGATATCGTGTTCACAAGAATGGAATGGACGAGAGGACGGACAACCCAAAAACATTATGTCTCCAGCCACTGTAGGTTGTCAGTAAAAGCTAAAATATTGTGGCATGATGGCAGCTAGAGACCAACACGACAATATTTATCTGCTTCTTACAAACACAATATGAAAACAGTGCAAAACCAACTCAAGTGCTCAGTGTCGACTATCTACTGCGATGTGATGTGACATGCCCCAAAATAAAAGAAAACAGTGGTTTTTAATCAAAGTTTCAATGTTTTGGGAGACGTCCCAACAAAAACACCTGCTTAGTATAAACGAAACAGATGTCCTACATAGTCTAGAGGTGTTTCATACATCAACACAGAGCAGGCTGGATGTGACAGCCAACGAGCCGGCAGCTGAGAGTGAACATCTGCCTGTGGGAGAGGGGACACCTGCCACATGGTTTCACTATTACATTTCCCCTCTGCGGGTAAGGCCAACGCAAGTCCCGAATAAGATGATACTTTTTGTAGCCATGATAGCAAAAACCACGATGAAAGTAAATGTTGAGTGATAAGGATTATGACCAATGATTTGTACCAGAAGCACATGGTCGAATGGGGAAATCCATCATCACAAGTATTGCAACAGCATTTCAATCTTTTAAAAGGCCTAAAATATTAATTTCGATGAATAGTTATCTTTGGCTATGGACGAGCTGGAAATGTATTTTTAGCAAACATCATGAGCTCTTGAGGATGAAAAAAGTTTGAATTTTAGGAAGAAAAAAGTGTTACTGGGTTTCTCACCAGCAGCTCACACACATTCTTTTACAAATGATTCAGAACCTGATGATATGAGCGCGAAGCAAAAGTGAGGTTCAAAGTTTGTTTCAATTTGAATTGAATTTAAGACACGAGAGCTGATTCAAATTAGAAAAAATGAAAACAAAGTTTTACAGAAAGTGAGACGCTGAATGGTGAAAACTAAAACTACTTTTTATAAAGAGAAAGTAACATATGACCAAGGAGTTCCAGATATGACTTGTAAGGCTTCTGAAATTAAAGAGTTAGTAAGAGTTAAGTCAAGGTCCCTTCCAACGTGAGGATACTCAGGCTGACATCAGTTTGTGTCTAAATAGACTTTTAAGTGGTGAACATGTGGAAAAATAGGCGTCAGAACCACAAAGAAATAGATCATAGTTTAATTCTGAAGATGAACCCACACACCTGACATCTGCATCCCCCCACTTCATGTCTGACAGGTCGGTAGCTTTCTTATTTTTACGGCACAATATGGCACTCTCACACACGCGCGCACACTCACCCACACACCCTTGAGTTTATTTAATATCATTATCGACAAAGGTATATTCTCTCTTCCCATAATTCTATGTCTCTAGTACGTAGTTAAATATGTACACACTTAGGGGCTGAGATCAATTTGTTTTCTTTCCAGACAAAGTGAAATTTCAGTTCAAAGGGGAAAAAAAGAAGGTCTAGTTCTACAACTGATTTTCAGTTCCTCAGACTGTAAACCTCCAAACAGCCTGAAACATGACTGAACTGCGTCTTCCATCCTGATGTTGGTGACTAATTTTAACTTCCCATCGCCGTCTCTCTGAGATCGTTTCCTCTCAGATGACGTTGAACCTGAACTAAGAGAGACGATTGCAGCAGGAGTGTCATCACAACCAGTAGTAGTGCACAGATGTGTCCATACAGCAGTTATGTCCTCTGGTGCACAACAGTCCTGAGAGAACGTTTTTATAGCTCAAAGTGACGCAGTTCCAACACTTTGAATCTGGTGGTTCTTCTTTTTGAACCACTCCAGTCTTGTCAGAGTGAATGAATGGACAAGGGTTGAGAGAAGCCCAGTCTTTGTTCCACTCATTTACTTACTCAGCATCTCTTTCTTTAACACCAGGGCTGCTCTGATGTCTCAGTCACCAACTTTAATGTCCACTTCCTCTTCTGCAGCCTCAGGAAGTCAAGTCCTTGCTTTTCCTTTTGCTATTTTCTCCTCTCCCTTGTTTCTATGGATGCGGGAGGTTCATTCTGTCCTCTATTAGGGTGATGTCGGGGCCCTGCGACTCCATGCACTGCTTGACAGTTGCTATGATTCCAGACAGACGCCTGTCCAGGGCTGCAAGGTGTGTTTCAGCCAGGACAGGGTGGATGGGGTCGAATGCCAGAGCCTGTCGCATGGCTGAACTCAGCGCTCCACTTCTCAGGAGGTTCAACCTGTTCCACGTGGACACCCGGACCCTGACAGAGAGGAAACACCAGACACATTGTATTTAAACTAGAACTGCATACCTCTAACAAGTCCCCTTATGAAAACAAAATTAAATTCACTAGATCCAGATTTTTATTTTGATCTGCACCAAATTGCACACACACACACACACACACACACACACACATGTATCATGAATCATATCCTCAGAATTAGAAAAACATTAAGTACTCACATGCAGCACTGGTAGAGTGGTGCGAGGATGCTTCGTTCATCCAGAGCTGCATTCCCAAAGCTACAGAGAGATAACAAACAAACAAAACACGATAAAAGAATGTATGTAAAGCAACTGAAGCTATAGGCCTGTCTGCACCATGGTCAACAGCCATGGTAATACAGTGAGCTGAGCACACCATAGACTGTACATAAAGATGGACAATGCTTCTCCACTTCCTCCCACTATCCAGAAATGTTAGAAAAGTTAAAACATCCAGATACCAGCACTGCCTCCTTGTGCATTTGTAGCTGGAGTCTGCGCAGTAGCCATCGGGGGGGTTGGGCTGAGCTAGCGAGGCCACACCGATGAGCGCACTCTACCAATCATGAGTCACGTTGACATAGAATTTCTAGGAGGTATATTTTGAATCCAAACAGGCTATCACAGATCAAATATGGAAGTTTTGCTTAGTTTTCAGTTTACCGTCCAGCCCTGATGTTAGTATAAAATGACATAAACAAAACTTTCTTTTCAAATAGGAAATAACTGCTGACTGCAATGGATCCTTGATAATCTGATGAAATGAAGCTGATATGATAAGTAGTTCAGTGAGAAAACCAAAGATCATGCAGACAGAAAACTTTCCAGTCTTGATCACGAAAAAAACAAATAAGTTCAAAGAAGGATTAACGGCTCAACATCCTCCCCACAAGTGGCTGTCTCCTGCATTAATCAGCATGAATCAGCTTTGAAGCAGTTTCAGTGGCAATTACAGACTTCTTGTAAAAGAGGAGCATGCCAGAAATTGTCAACACAACATGAAATTGAAATTGAAAATGAAGGTTTCAAATATTAAAACAATTAATTAAAAACTTGAGAGGGTAGAAGATAATTTTTTTCATTTTTTTGGTTGTTAATTATTCTTGTTTCAAAACTATCCATTAAATCTTCCTTACATTAACATTTTAAATGTGATCTGTTATCTTGAAGGAGAAAGGAGAAGAAGAAGGAAGGAGAAGAAGAAGGAAGGAGAAGAAGAAGAAGAAGGAGGGGAGAAAGAGAAGAAGGAGAAGTAGACTAAATAGCACCAAAAGGAGAAAAACTAGATCTTGATTATTGCTCACCTCTTTGCGTTGTCGAGCAGGATGAGCATGCTTGCGCCCCCGTCATCCTGGAAACTCTCATAGTGGTGCCGGTCAGCGTTTCCAATGAGATAATCAAATATGGCCGTGTCTATGACGTCCAGCAGCCTCGGCCCTGCATCGTAGGGTGGCATCTTCTTCACAGCCTCGCAGTAACTCTCATCGTACTCCCACCTGGAGGTTTACAGCATAACATCAACATCAAACTTTAACACACAAACACACAGGTGGCGTCTGATTTTGTGAGAACATACAAATAGAAAGAAGAAAATAGTTTAACATTTTTGCATTGATAAAATATAAACATCAAATGTGACCTGATGTTAAAGGTCCAGTGTGTAAGATTTAGGTGAAAGGGATCTATTGGCAGATATTTAATGTAGAATAATCCTCATGATGTTTTCACTTGTTTGTTTCATCTAAATTGTATGACTTGTAGTTTTCTTTACCCCAGAAAAGGCCCTTTATATTCACATACTTAATATTTACATCGAGGGGACCCTCTCTACTGAGGCCGCCATGTTTTTAAAAATTAGATCAGACTGGACAAACTAAACACTCTTTGAGTTTTTATGACAACTAAAGGCTACCACAGGTTCTCTTTCACTTTTGGAAGGGGAGGGTGAGGTGAATGGAAGGTCAATGGTGAGTCCTTCTTCAGATGTAATAAAACAGAAAAAAAATAACTCTGTGGTGTCATCCAAGTGTCCGCAAGCCCCAACATTCATATTAGACTCGAAACAGCGTCATTTCCACCGTGTTTTTAGCCTAAATGTCCACTGATATCCTCCCTGGTGGTGCTTTCATGTACCCTCGGGCACACCATCGTGTGCTCATGTCCGCTAGCTTAGCCACTTCCAGTGGACTTTTAGGCTTAACACACAGTGAAAATGACCTTGTTTTGAGTTGAAAATGAATATTTTTTCTCTTGTTTTATTACGTCTGAAGAAGAGGTCACGATTGACTTTACACCTGAGACTCCAGAAGTATTATTTGGACTCAAAGACTTCACCCACTCCTCCATCGGCATAGTGGTGAGTGGATAATGAGTGAATTTTCATTTTTCCGTGAACTATCCCTTTAACGGTGTGTGAGAGAAACAATTCCAGCATCCGGTCCATCCCGCTGATGTTATCATCTTACATAATTTTACATGTGCACACATATTTAGCTTTGACTAAGCGGGAACACAGTCCTCAGTGAAAATGAGCTGAGACTTTTTTTTTCTTCAAAGTGAAAGTCTGTCAAAATTCTCTCTTTATTCTCTAAAGTCAGGTTTTGCTTAATATTTAATAACCACTGAGCTAATATGACTTGTAAGAATCAAGGCAAATTTTCTGATGTCAATATAATGAGAGGTGTAAACCAACTCAAATTATATCATGAAACAAATGTGTAGTATCCATCATTTTATTTCCAACTCAAAACTCAGAGGAACAAAACCTGTGTAAATGTCCAGATACTCAGTGACACCGTCACATGACTTTATCTGACAGTCAGTGTTTTTGGAAAACCATCAAAGGTTTTGAAAGTAGGTTTCTGAAAATGAGAGCGTGACCAGGATACTAACGCCCACAATCTTGTATTGCTACACAGGAACTGTATACTGATATGCCAACCCGCTGGCTCTTCTTCTCTTATTTCTCTAATGGAACAAACCGATTTTTCATTTTACTACTTACACTCTTACACATGTGAATCACTGAAGGTTAGGGCCAGCTCAACACCTAACACCCAGTTATGGATTACAGCATTGGCAAAGTGAGAATGTTGAACAATTTCACATCTTTCTAAAGATGCAGTGAACTGATGAAAAGACTCACTATGAGCGATTAACAACTAAGTCTAGCATTTCGTTGTATCTCTGGATCTCTCTTTTTTCCCAATCAATAAGAAATTGGAAATTTAGAAAAGGTTTTCTTACAAACTAAGAAAAGTCTTTTTTTTCTCCTTTGCAATAATGCATGAAATGGACATCTGCTGGTGGTTGGCAAGGGATAGTCACCATCTGGTCCTATTTTTTAAAAATTGGTAAAGAAGCCTCAACAGAAATGATCATACTTTTGTTCTATTGTGAGTCATCTATTCTTCAGGAGCCCTGGTGACTTACTGACCAGTTAGTGGAAATATGAAAGCTTGAATTTTATTCCTGAAATGAACTACTGGAAACAGAAAGATTCAAACCCAGGGAAATATTTCACTGCTATAAATTCAGCAGTGTTTTAAATCTGAATGGTCAAGTGTTGAGTTTCCTCATAATGTCACATTATCTATCTGCTTTCATGGAAACATTTGTTCCGGTGCCAGTTGTGATGGACACCCCAAACACCAGGCTCACCTATGGCTCCTTTGTTCTAGCTCCCACCTCAGGACTCTTTCCTCAGGAGGGGCTAGAGCATCATTACATTTTAATAGTGGGAGAATGGGTCAGTCTATTTACAGCCACTGACATAAACATTTCCCTCTCTCCATCTGGTAAACATGACACACACTTACTCCATCCAGTCATGAGATTTTCTTTGACTTTCTGAAACAATACAAATTTTTTTCCACAGACACTCTAAACCCACCTGGCAAGTTTCCCCTCTCTGTAGGTGCGTCCCCAGGGGTGTCTGTGTTTCTGCAGAGGCCAGACGTCTGGCAGCCAAAGGGTTAATGAACCCTCCATGATTTCTCCCTCTGCACAGGCTGGTTCAGTTTCCCGACAGTAGTAACACTTTCCATAGAAACATGTATTGTTACCTGGACACAGAGAGAGAAAGAGAGATGTAACCGTGAAAATAAATCCACCTGATCGTTACGTCTGATCAATGATGAGATGTATGAGATGCAAACATGGCTCTGTAAGGAAGGACAGTGTGATGTTTCACATCCTCTGAGGGAAATGAAAGAAGTGAGAATAGAGTGAAGAAATGTGAACAGAGAGAGAGAGTGCCCACATTCCCACTCACACATTCTGCCTAATTAAAAAGACGAAGAAGACGAAGACAGACACACAGACATACACACAATGCAAAAAGGAACTCAATGAAGGAGGAATAAGCATTGCATCACTGTCATCCTGTGCTTGTTAGTGTTATGAGGTTTATCAGTCATGTTATGTACAGAAATCTGAATAAAAGCAATTCAACTTTTGTTGAGTTGAAAACAACAAACTCCAGCCAACATATGTTGAATTTGTTGTCAAATTATTTAAAAGTGAAAATGCAAATAACAGCAACAAAATAGCAAAAAATATCCATATTTTAGGAAATTAATAGGCATTTACACAAATCTGTGCAGCATTGAGTTGAGCGTGGTTCTAATACAAGAGCCGACCTGGGAATCTTTTGACTTGATGTAAGTCTTTTGAAATAAGAGGGACATCGAGCTAATCGGAAGGTATTTTAAGAGAGTATTTTCATCATTTGGAGGCTGTCACTTGAGTGACCTGTGTCCACATTGAGATCAGCTCGCTCTGTCCAGCTCAGATCACAAGAGAGAGCTGGGGACAACTGCAGTCACAATGTGTCCTTGACCACATCTGTAGTTGTTTTGGACAAATGGATCACAATCGGTCCTCAGTGCTTACTTTTCAAGACATTGAAGATGCATTTACATCAGTGCCTTCATGTGGTCAGGCACAACCCAATTGCTACCCGATGACCCACAACACATTTTTAATGCCGAGGTAGATTCTCATGAAAGCTAGAAGAAGGCGAAAAGGATAAAGTTCCTTGTCATGGTGTGTAATTTTACACTGCAATATAAATATGCACCAAGATGTATGTAACTTTTCCAGTGAGAATCACTCTTATAAAATCCATATTAAATATGAACATCAGACAAATTAAGGTAAATTATCAAATTGATGCACAATAATTCCAATTTAGTCAAAAAGCAGCTCTGCTCCTGTCTATATTCAATCTCAGATGACATATTGTCATAGTGTCTATTGAGAGCTTCACAACACTTCCCAACTAAAATGATGGAAGAACTGCAACAACATCTTAAAGGCTTCAGTGATTTAGTATTAAACTGAAATGAAGTTACTGGGATTCAGAGACAGATGAATGTTAAGAAAAATCAGAATCAAAGTAGCAGAGGCCTGAATTTAAGTCTGTAGGATTAATTAGGATTTAGTTCGATTTCCTCAAACACAACTACTAACATCAAGGAGAATCTTTAAAGCTTCTATACAAGTCAATAACCATCTTTTAAAGCCCTTTAACACAACCTGAGAAAATAAACCAGAGCGGCATCATCTGTGGTTATTATGTCATGAACTCACCCAGAACACATGACTCACTGATGAGCTGACCTTTATGTATAAAACTGCTGGATTTCCCCATGAAAAAAGGTGACGTTTACTGCAGAGATATTGCATTCAGTTCTCATGTTTCACTCTTACTGAACCTGTGATGTCTGTCTTTATTATACCTTTCTTGTACCAAACAATTTGTGGCTAAACATGCAAGGGCGATTGACTGCTTTCCCATTGTTACTAGAGGAGTTTGCATTTCTATGTTTGATGTCATGACCATGGCAGAGAGTGAGAAGCTCTCTCACCTCACCCTCGTGCCAGTGTTGTATCTTACCCGATACATAGAAAGAAGCTATTCCCATGATGTAAAAACAAATAATAAGTACACAAACATTCATGGCTACTTACACGCCAACACCCTATAGTACAATGCGCTTCATAACACCGCAATAGAAAAGGAGCAGCATCAGGATCTAGACTTAAATAAATAAAGAAGAAGAAAAAAGTGCATTCACCCAGTGTTCAGGGAGGTTTGGCCATAAGCCATACCCATGAGTCAATGTTGATTGCATCCATTGCTGTTGCAGACAAAAGCTAGTTGTTAGTGGATGTTATGACCAGTGAAAAAAAAATTTAGATCAGGGTTTATTCTCGCGTAGTGGTGAGTAGATAATGAGTGACTTTTCATTTTTGGGTGAACTATTCCTTTAAGGTAGGCCAACTGCTGCTTCTACACTGATCCTGAAGCAGTGTTGCTAGTAATTTATCATTGGTGGTCCATAGTGGAAACCCTGTATTCTGTTGCCACTCTTCCTAAAATAATTTGACAAACCACCTTGCTTTTATTAAAGAGTTTTCTCTCATTTCTGCTTCACTGTCCACGTCATTGATTGATATTCATATTCTTTATTATCTATACAGTGCCACAGCCTCACAGAACAGGTTTTGGCAGTCATGGTTCAAAGTGCTGACTGTTAAAACCAAAGACAAATAATGAACAGAGTGACAGCAGATTTGTTTTATCAGAGTCAGCAAGAATTTGGATAGATGGGTAATTGAGAAAAGGGAAATAAAAACAACTACATTCACTTCTCACTAGAGCATTGTTGGAGAAGTGTGAGAGAATGAGCGAGGAAGAAAGAGTGGATCATTACTCACCCTGCATGAGGAAGGTGCTCAGCAGCTGGTCCGTAGCCACAGGTTTAATCTCTGTCCGCAGGTTGACGAATCGCCCCACCACAAGAGGTGCTCTTCTGAACCCTAGGATCCTGCAAAGAAGGCAGGAAGTGATACCAGAGGATCATTACAGTCCTTATCCATCTACAGACCTGAAAGAATAAAATTCAAATAAAGACGCCCACTCACCTATCCAAGTGAAAAGCTGCCACCTCTGCATTGTGTCTGTCGTAGCCTGCGTATGGCTCGCCCTCAACTACATAGTCTCTGTTGTACCTGAGGGAGAAGTCGACAGGACAAACATGAGAAACCTGAAGCACCCTTATGCATTAAATAATGATGCGTTCTCCACACAGCTGACCTTTTGGGTTTGAAGACCACTTTCTGTCCCCCATCCAGCACCAACAGGGCTTTGAGCTGAGTGCCCTTATAGCCCACATCTGCCCGTTCAATCCTGGAAGTGCTGAGGGCAGTGAGCACTGCAGCCAGCTCTGGGGTCTCCTCTGGGTTCACCTCTCTCGGGCCCACCCACTGGCTTGCTATCTCCCACGGAGACTGGAGGGTGTGTGTGAGACGAGCTCCGCGGGACAGAGAGAGGCCAGCTTCCATCTGTTAGCGATGAATGATAATAACAGTGCGTCATTACAAATCTGCAAATGCTAAACACAGAGTAACTTCATACCAGCAGCTACTGGAGTATCACACGTCCCATTCAATTAGTGACCCCAATCAGAGATGTGTCATTTTGATATATTCCTACTGAGTATTTTGAACGGTCGCCTTGCACCCTGACCTTGCGGAATGCTCTGAGGTCCCGTCGACTGGCTGCAGATCCTTCACCTCCATCCAGCAGGAAGATCTTGGCCAGGCCCAGCACGAGAAGCACGGCACACAGCACCACCATGCGCTGTTTGAGCTTCATCTCCGCACCGACTGGCCCAGAACCCCTACTAGCCCAACACTGTGTGTTTCCCCCGATGCGAGTCCCCCTCACCCTCGATGCATGGCCCTGGCAACTCCCTGTCGCCCGACCCACCCGCTTGACCCCAATTCCCTGTAAGTACGAGAGGAGCTGTGACACCTTGAGCTGAACTCAACAAACCAGCAGCCACCTGCGGGGAAACAGAAATAAGAGAAGGTTGGGAGGGATGGGCAGAAACAGGAGAACAAAAAGAAAGAAAGAGAGAGAGAGTGATGAACTATCAATAATGTGTGGAGAGAAAACTGATTTATTTGCTGCCCCTCCTGCTTGTTTCCCCTCAGGGGAGATGGTGACCCAGTACTGTAGCCCAGCAGAAGCCTGCCCAGCCCGTGTGAGTACACCAGGATGCTGTAGAAGTGAGTGTACATTTAAAATTACGCCACGACACAAAACCTGTACTGTGTGCACAGGGCGGCTAGATCTCACTGGGTGTGTAGCTACAGTACAAACTGAGCTGTGTTCGAGCGGAGGGGCCACGTCTGCACCATTCGAAACCTCCATGTCATAACACTAGATTTGGGAGCTGAGGAGGAAACTCTTATTTACTGCCTCTGTGTTTAGGGGCTGATGGGACATGCAGCCCTGCTGTGGTGCAGGGTGAGGGTGGTGGTGTTGCGGGATTGGACCCAGCGCAGACAGACAGACAGAAACGGCCTGAACCCTTGAGATGTTTAATCACACGACCTCATGGTGGATTCCCCCGGATGCTAAAAGCTAAAGCATCGTTTCAAACGTCACAGCAGCAACACTGACACCGAGCCACCGCCACGTTTAACTGACTCCAGGTCTGCTGCGGAGCCTGGAGCTGATGTTCGCGGGATTAGACTCAGTGAACACGGCTTCAGCTGCTGTTGGCACTGGCTCGTCCACGCAGTCCCTTCCTTCAAACAATCGCTCTTTCAAGCAGTGGCCGCCTCTCCTGTCCGCTCCGCACGGGCCGGGTGACGGCTCAGCCTCTGCCCCTCGGTGGGGGCCGCACTGGGGTGATTCAGGTGCTCAGGTCTCTACAGCGACGCTGCTAGCAGCTTTCACTGCACATCTTGCTCTGGGTTAGCAGCGGCAGCTAGCTTGTTACAGCCGTCTGTTGTGTTTACTGACCGCCCAGCGACGCTCACTCACCGTCTGTCCGTCTGTGGTTCACCGCTGACAAAGTAGCTGCAAGTGTCGTTGAAAAAACCTGCACCATGGAAGTTGAATAAAATGTACGGCGCTGCTAGGAGTCACGGTAGTTTGTCATATTCTCAGTCCCTCGGTAGCTCCCTCTTCCTCCGCCCTCTCCTTCCCCCTCTCCGGCCTGCCGTGTCCGCTTCCTGCCCGTGAGTGCTCCGAGCAGCCGGCAGGTGGCAGTGTTACTCCGCCTCGCCACACAAACCGTGACTTCTTGTTTGCTCCATGTCCCTTCCATATATATATACACACGCAGTATACATATATATATATATATAGAGCTGGGACACTAGCCTACATACCTGTGAGCAACAATTTAAAAACAAATATTTTATTGCTAGCTATTCCTTTGTTTTCTCTTCTATTTTGGGACCATATTGGTTTTTACTTTTTGACAATTTCAACAGGCTGTGATTACTCCAACCAAGAACTGATTCTTCCTTTTTCAGTTTGTCAACAACTACAGGTTTACATATTTACTTTTTCTTCACATCACTCAGAAACATCACCAGCCCATTAAAGTTGATCTTAATGATTGTTATGTACAAAGCGATGACCTCATAGTTGGCAATGAAAATTTAAATTACACAATAAAAGGCAGCCGTTCCTTTTATCTCAAATAAAAAGCCAACATCTGTACAGTGATGAATGTGATTGTATCTGTAGCCTAGTGAGGTAATGTTTCATTAATTTAAATTACTGGCTAAAACAATTGATCCAGCGCAGTTATACAATCATTTATATTTTGGCTGATTTAGGCATTTTGATTATTGGATAATAGTTTGGGCATATTGCCACACCAATAATGAAATTATCCTGGAAACAAACTCATTCAGGAGAGATTCTTTCAGAGCTCTCAGTTACATTCTGCAGCAGTTCACATAGCAGCATATCATCGAACAAACCCATCCTTCATCCGTGTCCCAGATCAACAGTCACAATCTTCATCAGAACAATGAGCATGAAACCAATGTGTGGTGTAAAAAAAGGGCAGAGTGTTTATTGGTTCTCAGTCGTCACACCAGGCAGCACATCGCTCTGCAGTGAGGTCACAGCGCTCGCCACAGTCATGACAAGGGCAGACAGACATACAGAGCCAGGTAAAGGTCAAAGGTAATTTATACATCACCTTCGATGTGTTGAAGGAAATTTGTTGTCAACGTCCTTGGTAAACGGTGAACAGGTGCCTGGCCAGTGCACAGGAGGCACAGATTCACAATGGTTCCATTTCTCCACCAAAGAATAAACACATCACGCAACCATAGTCAAAAAACCTCCCTCTGGTCAAACCCTTCTTCTCAGATATTAAACACTTTCTGTGACTGTTAAAAAGGACAAATTCAGAAGGTAAGATTCACTCAAAACAGTTAATACAGGGCAGATTGTGCATTTGTAGACAGAACAGTCAAATGAAAGCAAACAATGTGAGCAAAGAGAATTTTCAAGGATGACATCAAGTTTCTTCATAACAACCAAAAATTATCTTACATGAGCGGCTGACATTTGAATTTTCCACTCTCATCCAAAAATAGATGATTGTGGGGTTACCATGTTGGTAGTGATTGGCCTTGAAATCCAAAGATTGGTTCGCCTTAAACCACAAAACAAATATGAAACATGTTTCCATTGTTCTGACCATGCATTGTACAGAAATTATATTAAAAAAAGTAATTCATGTAAACTCAAGTTACAGTGAGGAAAAGCTCAAAAAGCGCTCTACATGATCTGGGAATTTCTCAAAAGAACAATTGTTAAACCCAAATTAATTCAAATAAACCATCCTAGATGCAAAAGCACCTCTCTGGTCTGTTGGGATATACAACTCAACAGCTCAATCTCTTGTCCTTTCTTTTTCTCTCATTGTTCTGAGTTAAAGTCAGATAAAGCAAACAGAAAGAAAGGAAATATCCATCCGCCATCACGGGTTCGTTTTTTATATCTCAGCCACTTCCGGCCACAGTCCTTTTTTCAGCATCGATTCTTGCTCAACTGCACCAACTTGTCAATTTTTTTCCAAATCACAGCAGGTTAAGCTCGTCTGAATGTCAGTAAAGACCAACCAGCATCGGAAGATAAAGTTTCTCAACCTGCACCAAAAAGCTCTGTTGCACCCATTTCACTTAATTCATTCACAGCCCTCTCACAGTCCCCTCTGCCCACTAGTGGTATAAAAACACCAGCAACCATCAGCCTCCATAGTGCTTCAGCTCTGGGATTGTGTCGTTTCAAACGCTCTCTGCTCTGTTCTGCAGCTCCTGCCACAGACGAGCACAGTTTCCATTTCCCATCAGCTCCCGAGTCGTCATCTCTTCACACATCCCATGCGACACAAGTTGTGGCGTGAGCTGGCAGAAAGTCAGTCGCACAGATGATTAGGTGGTTACCCCCACTGCTCAGCAGTGACAGCAGCCTGAAGGGATTTGCCTATCTGGCTCCAATTACAATGTTTTTCTTTAAAAAAATAGACAAGTATGCACAGGCACACAAATCCACACATACTTAGAATAACTGCTGCTTTACATAAGCCTGAAATTGGCTTCCTCATTCATTCCTCCACAGGTTCATCAACTGCCGTCTCTTTAGCTCATATACAAAGGGCTGAATGTCTTCTGATGGGGACCTAATAGTCACTGTCTCACTTTGTAATGTTTGTCTCATGACTCTATGTTGTGTTGCTGCATCAGATTTGACACATTTAACTAGATCCTGTGCTGTGAGCCCAAAGCTGAACCTCTGAGCTTAATCTAACCTATTGATGGGACATTTGTTTCTACGCAATATTTTTTTCTTCTTCACTAAATTCGATAAGGTACATGTGGAGCAGTGTGCAGACTGTGATGTTGGGCTGAGGATTGAGTAAACATACAATGTAAACAACGGTTTCAGGAAGGAGATTAGAATCTGTTGGGCACCCCTAGGTGATAAGCACTTCATTATTGTCACCACCACTGTTCTGATCATGTTTGCTCAAAAACAAACAGTAACAGTCTCTCTGTTGTACGTTAAAACATCTGTGAAAAAGAAAAACATCTGGTGGAAACTAAATCCTAAAAAAGGTTTTCCCCCACCGTCGGCACCATCACCTGATTCCACCTCAGCTCTACGCTTCCTAACATTTCGTCAACGTGAAATAAAACAGTGATCATCACTTGGCACTAATTAAAACCAAGGTGCTTATGCTATTTCCAAATCAGAGGGGTGGGACATTAACTAAGCAGGGTCCTGGTTTATAGAATAAAGGGCAAAAAGTAGAAAAAAAAAATTCACATGTACATAAAATATTCAAAATAACTGCTCCATAAAAGGAGAATAACACACAAAAAAATGTAACATTCATATGTAACAGACAAAAAAAATCTACATAAATGTGCAATCATTCTACTACATAGTAATACTGTGAACTGCACAAGCCCTCCCCCCAAAAAACAGGAAAAGAAACTAATAAAACAAAACAATATCAACAAACAAGATTTAAAATCGACTTGTATGGCTCCAGGTAGCTTTGAATGTCTGCTCCAGATCAGCAAGAAGAAGAAGAGGACATAAAATCAGGTTCTTGCTGCTTTCTCTTGGACTCTTTCACAGTTTCAAGTCTTTAGTGTTTAGTGTGAGTGAGTCTGGTGAAACCAAGCATCACCTCGTTGAGCTGATGACGCTGCTGGAGAAAGAAGAATTGCAGGTTTGCAAAAGCAGGAACTCTCGGGTGTGAACACGTCTTAGCTTAGATTCTGGGATTATTGTACTATTGTGGAACTCAAGACAAGATTCCCGTAATGTAAGCAAACATTTTCCCTCCCCTCCTTACCCAATGCAGTTATATAGACACACACACATACACACAGAACACTAAGCGAGTATATGACAAAAGAGGAGGGGCGACATACTGTAATAAAAAGAAGAAACATTCAGGAATTGTGGGAATCATTTCTGCTGGAATCGATTGCAAATCAGAGCCCTATGCAATCAAACAGGCCTGTGTATGTGTGTAAATAATCCTGTGAATCCAGTGAATTGAGAGAAAACTGAAAGTGAGGATCTAATAAGTAAAATAAAAAGTGTATCTCCAATCCCTTCAAAGTCCAATGAATAAGTCTGACGTGAGTGTGCACGTTATGATTTTGTGTCCAGCTGAATAAAAAGGCGAGAATCTTGCTTTAGAGCATGACAGGTCACACAAAAAAAGATTACCCCTTAAGAAAACCAAAGGAGAGGATTATTTCTGTCCATCCGAGGACAGTCCGTCTGTGACAAAGGAGAAGTTGAATGGCTCCACTGAAGTGCTGAACACTCGCAGTAAAAACAAAAGAGCAAATGGGAGACGAGAGCAGTGGTCTAGGTCCTTGTTCAGTAGTCAAGACGTCCACATCAGTCCATTCCATTCCCACCCACACACACTCAGATATACACACACACACACTCAGATATATACACACACACTAGCACAGAGACACACAGACAGATAGACAGACACACACACACACACACACAGACAGACAGACAAACAGAGACAGACAGACACACACACACGCACACACACACGGAGTACTCTAGTTAAGGCAGTGGTGGCAGGTGAGGCTGCAGTGAGGCCAGGGTGAGAATCGGAGAATCAGCGGGCAGGGCTCATGGCAGTGAAAGCTCCCACTACTGAGTCAAAACTCCTCCTCATCCTCCTCCTCGTCTGTTTCCTCATCCTTGTCTCCTTCACTCATTCACACTTCCTAGGATCCGTCACTCAAACGACATCAGATTGGCTGGCACCTGGGAAAAGAGTGAGATTTGTAAAATACAGTCTGAAACTTAGCAGTGTGTGTGTGTGTGTGTGCGTGCACGCAATGTGGCCACATACCTGTTGCCTATTGCTCTGACAGGCAGCACTCAGATGTTTGATCCAGAGGAAAGCGTTCGCTTTGTTCCCCGCTTGGTACTTGTAGGTGTTACCTAGGCAATAGAGACAAATAATGTGAGTTGCAAAGTCTCTCGTTTCCACCTGTTTTCGCAAAACTCTGGAAACATGGCTGAAGCCTAACTTGACTTTGGCCCGCCTGGTAAAATAAAAACAAAGTCACAGTTCAGGACAATGTCAGATTGTGTGTTCTTATGTGTGTGTGCGTCTGTGTTGGTAGTTGGTTGGGTGGGTGGGTAGGAAGTCACCACTCAAATCAATCTGCATTGACCCACTTCACCTTTTTTACTGCATCAGTTTTCAGAAGAATGACTACTTGCTTTTATTGGTCATTTCCGTTTCTTTTTCCTTTTGTGTGTGTGTGTGTGTGTGTGTGTGTGTGTGTGTGTGTGTGTGTGTGTTATTCTCACCGTGCTCTGAGTCTGTCAGCAAGAAGACATCAGGATGCTCAGGATCTTCAGCCAACATGGCCATTAAACCCACCACACAACCACTCTTACTGGACGTTGACTTGAACTGAGTAGAAGACAAGAGGACAGATTCACTTTTTTTCCTCATAACAAATCTATTGTGTCTAAACATTAACATGGGCCCAGTGTGTGTGTGTTTGTGTATCCTCAGGATTTTGGATATGCACTCCACAAGGTTCTCATTAGCCTGAGTGACATACAGGACTGCAGTGATGTCATTGGTCTCATTATTCAATGAGTGCTACCATCTGTCTCTCCCCCCACTGCACCGAGCCCAGTCTAGTCCCCTCCACACCACCACTTATACCCCACCAAACACGCATGCAGCTCACACTCCTTCCCTACACTCTCCTCTGAGCTCCTGTAGATTTTGGGAATGTTTCTTTAAAGCTCATACACACAAACCCATGTCCAGCCCGACACATCGATTTTCTTTAAATCAATAATCAATCTAATCATGTGCAACGAATGAAGAAGATTCATCGCATGTTCTCCCCTGAGTTCATTTTATAATCAAACCTTTTAAGCATGAGTAAATAATGGCTGTCACGTGTTGTCTCCTTATAAAATTGTGCACGTTTCTGGATAAATTGGTACATTTACTCCTACTTCTATCTACAGCTGCACATTTTAAGATCTCTCACTGCAGTTATGAGCTTTCAGTCCTCACCTGCCTGAATAAACAAACAGTAAAACCTCCACAATTTCTACCATCTGCTGCAAAGATGCACGGCATTGAATGTGTCCTCAGATAGAGACGAACCAGCGTATGTGACTTACATGTTTTCTCTCAGTGGCCTTCAGGGACTTGGCAGGGTAATAGTAGAGCTGCGTTCCACAAAGAGCAACCCAGTATTTGGTCCAAGATGCCACCTGGAGGCACAAAAGGGAAATCATCTTTATTTGTTGGAAAAAAAATATTTAAGTAAATCTGATAAATAATTCTCCTGGTGTGGATAGATTTTATATGACTACATATTCAGACTGGGAAACAAGGTTTAGACCTTGTTACATACACAGTATAAAGTTATTTTAGCTGCATCCATATTTTTTTTCCAGGCAAAACAGAATAGCATAATCTCATCACAAATATAAATATGACCTGAGCAGAGAAAGGAAAACAAAGCAGAGGAATGAAACGCAAGCGCATCCAGAGAGGAAGAGAATTACAATGAATATAAGGAACAGACAGAAACAAAGATGTTGTGTGGGTTTAAGAGTCTCTGAGGTCCGATCTGTGCTCTCTAGGCAGCATTTATTGCCCATCTGCTCCTGTATAGTACATGCAGGTGTGGGTGTATGAACAGCATCTGGACACATGTACATGCGTAGTTGTATATGTCTACGCAAGTGTGTGTGTGTGTGTGTGTGTGTGTGTGTGTGTG